TAATTAAAGCCAGCTAATGAATACCGTATGATCTTATTCACAGCTGATAACATGTTAACATTGATTAAACAAAAAACTGGCCTCACCATTACAAATGTTCCACTGGGATGTGATCAGTATTGCTTATTTTAATACGGTATCAGTAAATGGCAAAAACTTGAGTTAGACAGCTTTAAGGCCATTGGGTGTTATCATAAAGAATTCTTATATTTGACACAGAGATAAAACCACCAAGCCTTGTAGACTTAGATTGATTAATCCATGAGTTATTTCTTTTAGCTCCTGAAATTGCAGAATCCTTCAGAGTATTAGAACAAAACGAGACCAGTATCACTCTGGAGTGGGATAAAATCAACAACAACATCAGCTTTGTTCTCCAGTTTAATGGCACAGAGACAAACATCACTGTACCAAATGGAGATGGACGAATAAACCACACCATCTCATCTCTCTCTCCTGGAACTAAATACCTATTTACTCTCTTTTCTGTGTTTGAGAGTGTCAGAAGCAGTGGAGTGCAAATTATTGCTGTCACAGGTAAGATGTTGGATGTGACACCTATGTCTTTTTAACAATTTAAATCTCTATAGCTGTGTACTATTAAAATTATGGTCATAGTATCTGTAACAGCGTCTACTTAAATATTAATAAATTGTTTCTTTTAAAGTAGTTTATTATTTTTTGGGGGGAAAAAGTCAAAAAATATGCATCTTCACATTATTTAGGAATTTAGACCAAAGGAGAAAAAAAAAATGCCAGAAACAGTTTTTGGCCACTTGGTGGGAGTGTTTTCAAGCAAAGACAGAACAGCATTGATTTATGTAATTAAAGCCAGCTAATGAATACGGTATAATCTTATTCACAGCTGATAACATGTTAACATTGATTAATCAAAAACTGGCCTCACCATTTCAAATGTTCCACTGGGATGTCATCAGTATTGCTAATTTTAATATGATATCAGTAAATGGCAAAAACTTGAGTTATACAGCTTTTGGGCCATTGGGTGTTATTGTAAAAAATGCTTACATTTGACTCAGAGATAAAACCGTCAAAACCTGGTAGAATTAGGTTGATTTATCCATGATTTTTTCTTTTAGCTCCTGAAAATGCAGAATTTTTCAGAGCATTAGAACAAGATGAGACCAGTATCACTCTGGAGTGGGATAAAGTGAACAACAACATCAGCTTTGTTCTCCAGTTTAATGGCACAGACATTAACATCGGTGTACCAAATGGAGATGGACCAATAAACCACACCATCTCATCTCTCTCTCCTGGAACTAAATACCTATTTACTCTCTTTTCTGAGTTTGAGAGCGTCAGAAGCAGTGGAGTGCAAATTTTTGCTGTCACAGGTAAGATGTTTGACGTAACACATGTGTCTTTTTACCAATTTAAATCTCTATAGCTGTGTACTATCATAATTAGTCAGTGTATTTGTAACAGAGTTTACTTAAATGTGAATAAAGTGTTTCTTTTTTTGTTTTTATTATTATTTTAAAAAAGTAAACAACTGTGACTGTTCACATAATTGAAGAATTTAGACCAAAAGAAAAAAAATGCCAGAAACTGTTTTTGGCCACTACATGGGAGTGTTTTCAAGCAAAAACAGTACTGCATTGATTGATGTAATTAAAGCCAGCTAATGAATACCGTATGATCTTATTCACAGCTGATAACATGCTAACATTGATTAAACAAAAAACTGGCCTCACCATTACAAATGTTCCACTGGGATGTGATCAGTATTGCTTATTTTAATATGATATCAGTAAATGGCAAAAACTTGAGTTAGACAGATTTTGGGCCATTGGGTGTTATTATAAAAAATTCCTATATTTAACACAGAGATAAAACCACCAAGCCTGGTAGACTTAGATTGATTAATCCATGAGTTATTTCTTTTAGCACCTGAAAATGCAGAATCCTTCAGAGTATCAGAACAAGATAAGAGCAGTATCACTCTGGTGTGGGATAAAGTGAACAACAACATCAGCTTTGTTCTCCAGTTTAATGGCACAGAGATAAACATCGGTGTACCAAATGGAGATGGACCAATAAACCACACCATCTCATCTCTCTCTGCTGGAACTAAATACCTATTTACTCTCTTTTCTGTGTTTGAGAGCGTCAGAAGCAGTGGAGGGAAAATTATTGCTGTCACAGGTAAGATGTTTGATGCGACATCTATGTCTTTTTAACAATTTAACTCTCCATAGCCGTATACTATTAAAATTATGGTCATAGTATCTGTAACACCGTCTTCTTAAATATTAA